TTATTGCATTGAATAAATGACGAAATGAGGAATATGAGGCTATTGTTGAAGTGTTGTATACTGCTTAAATAGTGTTTCGAATTCTGTGAGAGGAGCGGAACGATACATGATGTGTTATAAAATATAATGATGCTGATAGTGGAAGGGTTTATCGACCAGTCAGCTGTTCAAACATTGTCAGTAACAATGGGAAATGTCACCGCTTTTGTCATGAATTTCGCAGTTGATTTGTTATGTTCTAAAATGGTAGCATGGGCAGCTTTCATATACACCTATGAATCATTGAAGATGGTTACTAAGAATAAAACAATGCGTCATCGTATGTTTGTTTCACCCGGATACATGTTCATGTTCAATCCACCTATACAATATTCATACCCACGAAATTGAAATAAAAATCATGAAAAGGGACGTGTTATTAAGCAGATTAAATTATGAAACCGATCGCTTTATGTTGTTATTAGATATGCCATATGAAGAAAAAAAATGATTGGGGAATACTATGTGGGGATAATTCGGGTATTAAACTCGCTTGCAAAAGGTATTTTGGGATATATACATACACTCCAATCACGCAAGACAGTGAGTACATCGAATTATGACGTTTCAAACATTTAGTAAATAAGATCAATAAATCACCATTACTACTAAGTTCCCTATTCAAAATAACTAAAAAGTGGGCTAGGGGAGCTCTTCGTTCGCTGTGTTCTCTTCCAGTCTCCTCTTCCAGTTCGTTCCTTCCACTCCAACTTCTTCCGTCCGTCTCCTCCTTTATCCCCCCAAACCGGGATTCCAATCCGTTGCGCGATTCCTTTGTCATTGTCATTCAAATCAGTTGCGCAATTGACGCATAACCAGATTTACGCCCTCATGCGTAGTATGTGTGCACGTGAATCGGGTGACATATTGATGAAGTTGTTACAGTTGTGTGATTCATTTTACACATGACAATATGAACTCACAATATAAACCGCTTTTGATATACATAGCTCGGTAACTGATATTTTGTTATGACATCTGCTGTGATGAACCGAGAATGGGAACAGATTTATCGTCAGGTTTATGGGAATGTGATATTTTTATTAATTTAGACAAATATTGGGAAACCCTGAAATGATAAACAGTGTGTCTAGTTGTGTGCGATATAATTAACCCAAAACAGATTTTTTTAGTTTAAGACTTTATTTAAGACTATATTTAAAAAATCATATCCTAAAAACAGAAATTACAGATAACATAATACACAAAAACATGTGTGCCATTGTGTGGTGTTTTTAAACTATTGAGAACTTAAACAATATAAAAATTAAAATTTGTTATAACAATTATTGCATTTTAAAATATTGGCTTGACCCGCAATACCATCAATTGGGTACCCCCTTATTAGTAGCTTTAATACATGTGTGTCTCAAGTGCGACAAACTATGCGTTATTATTCATGATAGTGAACGAGCGACTGACCTTCATGGAAATGACGTTCATTGATATAGTTCGCGTTGAATAAAATGGCTACAAATGAAATTCGAACAAACAAAAATAAAGCAACACAAAGCATATACAATCAGGATATTCATTCGGTCATTCGACATTACCCCTAGATAAGATATCTTATTGTGTCTGTCCAATGCCTCTCCTCTTGTCAGGTGAGCAACAAATATTAGTATCAAGTATCACAGCAACGAACACTCATCTACACACAAAAACAAAGCAACACAGAGCACATACATTCGGTCATTCGACATTACCTTCAAATAAAATATCAGGTAATCGAACGTTACTACGTCACGTACTAAGGTCAGACAGACAGACAGACAGACAGACAGACAGACAGACAGACAGACAGACAGACAGACAGACAGACAGACAGACAGACAGACAGACAGACAGACTAGAGTATACACCACCCAGTGTGTATCTACCGTAATAACGTACCCTTCTAGTTATTCATTTATTCATAAATGTTCATTGCAATTGGTTATCATGACGACGAGGTTTGTGGTATTACATAGCTTAGTCATCCTAATCACTCAATACTTGTCCGAACTATGACCACCCTAGATAGATAATCACACAATAGGTTACAATAGGAACTGACGTATTTACGATTAATGGTTATTTTAATCTATGCACAGATTGATATCGCCAGTAAATGGTAAAATTTGCCAGTCTGCACACAGAGCGACACACTTAATCAAGGTGAGTGTTACTGTTGAGTATGTTTATTGTCAGCGTGCACTCGAATTGAGTTATTCTGTACTTTTTATGACGCACCATCACATATATAGTCAATTATGAATTGGGAAAGTGTCATAGTATACTACGGCTGCATGTATTCAAATTAGATTGATAATGAACATAATCATATACGGACTGCTGTATAGTTCTATTACCCTAACTACATGCATAACTAATTTCATATGACCAAATCTCAATTCCGCGGCATTCAGCTAGATCTCGTGCAACCGTGAAAATACCATCCTTCAGCACGTTTTTATGGGGAATTAACACCCATTTTGCGTACAAGAACCTTGAATTTGTACATAAGATATAGAATGCAAGCACATTAACAAGATTTGCACCATGATGAACACATTTTCGCAGAATAGAACGAAATAGTTTTATCTCTGCAAGAACCCCACACCACTGAACACTAGAATACTAGTGTTTGTGACATTGTACCCATGCCAACCAGCGCTTACATGGAATGCGGTATCCATGGTTTTTTTTACAATCTCGACATATACATGATACTAGCATGATGTTACCCCTGTTAATAAGCAGCACATCCTATGTGCACAATAAACAATTAGACTGTATAGTAAACAGTTAAAGTTGAACACGTAGATTAATTTCGCTTTTTAAGGTCGAGCTCACGCATAGTTTATCACTTCCATGCTTGACCCAACATGATGTGGTGTGCATATTATTGTAGATTGTAACTAAATTTTATTTTTATGTCGGTATATGTGAATTCATACAATATAACAGTGAGTCAAATCAATGTATTGATCCCTTGTTAACTTCAAATTAATGAATTACTACCAATGATTTTGTGTACACACATCTTTCATTATATGAATCAATATAATGTGAGACAATATCTCTATATAATATATTTGTTGATAAAGCTTTTAGATATACAGTTGTAGTTATAATAAATTTAAAAATGTGACTGATACATACACATTTTCTAATTGATTCATATAATAACAGGGAGTTGGAATATATTTTCATGAAAACTATTTTATGAACGACTTTTCCTTTCTATCCCCTCACCCAACTCGTGTCACAGAGTTCCTTGCTCCTATGTAACCAAGGTTCGCTATGACAGCTTATTTGGTGATTACGTTATAGATTTACAACTCTTGACTTCAAGCAAATTTTAATCCTTTAATTCAGACCATTTTGTAAACCATATCACAATATGAATTATCACATGTTATTATTATATTATTATCATATACTAGTATTATGATATTAGTACAATCACACTGGTAACATCTATTCGGGTATCGATGACTTGTTTGAGACACCCAATGTCGCAACTGCAACTGTTACATTATTATGTCTTTTGTTACAGATGAATACGCTTTGCCATCTACCCACTATAATTGTGTCTGTCCTGTGCCTCTCCACTTGTCAGGTGAGTAACAAATATCACTCTCAGATATCACAGCAACGAACACTCATCTACTAGTTTAGATACTGCGACATGCTATTTTAGCGAATTGTGGTAAAATGACGTAATAGCGAAATGTTGATTTAGCGATTTTTTCTTGTCATTGTTGATTTCCTGTTCTCACAATACTTGTCTGTCGCGCACCAAAACAAATGCACAGTTGTCACCTCCATAAAAACAATGAAAAACTGTCAAGTGTATTTGGATGCTGTTCGCAATCATAACAAACTGATTCAACAGGGATTTGAAAAAGCTTGTATTGTTGCTGCGTTACATCCAGAATATGACCTTTTATATTGGGACTCAAAAAGTACTACTAATTTCCGTAATAATATATAAGTATCACTTCATTTATTTATTTTCATTGAAATAATGACCACAATGAATACGTTTATCTTTTTGTGTTAATTTACTTTTCAATAAAGTGTATCTATCATGTCAGTACGTTTTTCTTTTGTGTTGTTTACAAGTGTGGAGAAAAAAGACGTTGTTTGGCGGCCATTTTGAATTTATAATAAAGTCAATAGCGACATCTTGAATTAGCGAATCAGTTCTCTCGCTAAATTTGCTAAAACGACATCCTCGCGAAAAAGACATGTTTTACAGTAGGTAGATTCGATCTCCTAATTGAAGATTAAAAAAGAAAGAAAAAAAGGAAGAACTGAGTAAACATTAAACAAGCACACATATATATCAAAACATAACATATCATAACAAATATGATGTTACCAAAGTTCTTAAGCATCTCTTATAGATTTTCTGACACATTTTAAGGCATTTCTAAACATATGCACATTAATGATAGCTGACACTGTCATTACATGGAAAATAACAGACACTGACTTTTTGAAAAACAATACTATAAGTTTTCAAATTATGAGGTCCAACAAGGCTTATATCAAACATTTTGCATATTTAGACGGATGGACGGTCGGAGGGACAAATAGACAGAAACACATAAATAAATAGAATAAATACAGTATTATCAGGAATCAGTAAACATATTTACTGTGCTGATATTCTTCCAGGCACTTGTTGACCAAAATGGATGCGGTGTAACGAAAAACTGCTGGGAAAACCCTACAGGATGCGTGGTACCAGACTGTGATTTCTTGATTACATGGCAGTCTGAAGAATCATCGAATAGTACTGAATTTGGACTTTTCGGAAAACTGACAGATTCAGAACACTACCTTGCTATTGGATTCTCGTTTGATCAATATATGGTAAGTGGATATGAATATATTTGCATATGTTAAACTCAGCTTATGCTTCGCATGTTTTACCTTCGCTGTATTGAATGTTACGATGTATAATGTTCTTCTATATAAGTAGTTTTGATTCTTTGCAGCCTGAAACCGATGTATGGGCATGCATGGGTCTAAGTAATTCAAGTATTGTCCTGGACCATTCCTACAACCCCTCTTACAGCAACGAGCAATTATCTACAGTAAGCATATCTATCAAATATCGCGAGTCATTTGTTCCTGTGTTTTAAAACACGGCTTTATTATATATTAGTATACCCCGCGAGGAGAGTTTGGTAAATGATGATGATATTGACTATGCAGTAAATAAAGGGCGGCACACTGCCTTTTGTACGAAACTTGCCCAAATATTTTAAGCAAAACTCGGACAATAGTATAAACTGAGATGCTTTATTCAAACTATATTATACTGAAATATCTACGAATTTGTTACTCACACTGTGTGGAACTTGGTGCTAGACAGCTCTTACATTCCTAACTGCCTCACGCCTATGGTCGATTGACTGTAGGAAACATATACTGATTATTCGAAAATTCTTTATTCATGCGATTTACTAGCTAATATAATGTTCTGAAATGTGCTAATTTACTTCATTAAGTAAGTTTATCTCTCCAAAAAGGTAGGTGCCGGCAATTTAGTATCTTCGTTTGCTGATAATACTCTGGAGTGCACGTTCAGTAGACTTCATAGCAATCCAGGCACAGACCCTTTCGCCGATTTGGCTGCAAACTCGTATTATCTAGTCGTCGCAAGAGGGCCAAGATTGGATAGCGATCCACGTAAGTAAAACTTTTAATGAGGAACAATGATTTGATTTGTCTGTTTTTCTGACACTATGAGGTCAAAGGCTATGTTTCGTCACTAAATGGTGTGCATAAGTGATAGCATGATTTTCTCTTGTTGGTCCATGTGATTTTTGTTGACGCCGCCGACAATAAATATCATGTCTGCATCTTAAACATCTTAAAACTGGAAGTGCGGTATTTATCGATCACAGTACGTCTATCCTATATAAGTTTAGCTCTATTGCGCAGAAAATGGGGCTTTCAAAGCATCTGTGTCTCTGTTGTCTGAATTCGTAACAACGATTTCCAGATCGACTAGCTGGGTGGATGCATGGTCTGGTCATACTGAATAAGCTTAGTAGGTGATTTGTGGTTGAATGCACTGTGTAGTTTATTGTTATGATAACGACCTCACGTTCGCACATTCCAATCCCACGCCGTTGCACTATTGTCTAGAATCAACAACTTGCATGTTTAGGGTGGAGATTATAAACATATATTACAGAAATGTTATAAATAGATAGTTTAGTTATTGTATTTAGTAGTGGCAACTTTGCAGGACTTTGACAGTGAGACACATCCCTGGTAATCACGTGATCGTGCCAACGACTGCAGCGATTGGCTGGTCGCATGATTATTCTGCCACGCCTTAGAGACTTTACCTTTAATATAGAGCTTGTAAACTTTTGTAAGGCGAAAGAGAACGAGAGAACGGCGCCGCTAGGGCTTACCTTGGCTGACTGCTTGTGTGAATAAAGCTGGACTATCTGTAATGAATTAATGTGTATTCATTTGGGTCGAATCCGGTATCTCTACGTGTAAGTGACATCAGACGAAGCGAGACGAAGTTCCCTGTTCATTGAACACAACGCTAGTGTTCACAACATTATTATGATACGTACTTGAGTCAGGACAATGGCCCATTGTCTTTCTAGACAAAACGAGTTACGTAACACACGTACGTTGTGACAACATCCAACTCGTGATAGAGCTGAAGGAAAAACACGCCAAATTTGCAGTATGTCAAAGTACTCCTGCCATGCCGCTATTGGTAATTAACGGACAGTTTTGGAGCATCGGGTTCTTACCAGACATCGGCCCCGAAAGATTAGCCGTTTCATAGAATGTCGAGCCCTAATAACCTCGCAAATTATTCACGTGTATTCAAGATTTTGTTTTCAATGATTCTTGCATTTTTAATTGTATTTGCTTTTTATTATACAGCTAAGCTGGCCAAGCACATATTGACACCGATAGTATCTCCAGGTCTCATCGACTTTACAAGTGATATATACAGTGGCTCTCCAGTACCAGCTATCCATGGAGTTGTGTTGTTCTGTTCACTGATTTGTCTTGCATTCATTGCTTGTATGTATTGATACAGCCGTGTTAAAAGTTGAACTGAATATATGAACGCACATGATATAATAATGACTATTACCAACTGATGTCCTTGGTCATCATTGAGTGATAACTCTACTGTTGTTATCGATGTAATTTGTATGTATCAATAATTACAAAATAACAATTTGTGTA